TCTTGCTAAGCGTCTCCTTTGGAGCGTCCCCTGCAGCTCACAGCCCTTGGGGCAGCTTCAGGTCCAGAACACCCTGAAACAGCCATTGAGCTGATTCCTCCTCAACAGGAAGGACCGCAGAGGGGTCGCTGCAGATGTACTACCCCTCGGACGGGGCTATCATCCAGCTCGGACTGTGCAGGGCCAGGGCCGTGTCAGGAAGCTGGAAGCAGAGCTCAGCTCCCAGCTCTGAGGCAGGCGCTGGCCCCGCTCCGTTTCCCTGGATAGAAACCACAGAACTGGGGGGGCAGCCTCCCCTCAGCCCTGCCCCTCCGCTCGCAATAAGGAGCGGTAAGAAAAAAGGATTAATTCAGCTCCAAAGAGCTGAGCCGGGGGTTACCCTGCCCCGCTGAAGAGAAGCAGCATTTTACTGACCTGAGCTCCTGGCTCCGGGGACCTCCTCCTGCCGCTGCCGGGCAGGCCCAGCGCTCACAGGGACCTTCTCTGCTCCAGAAAACAAGTCACAGGTTGGAAGAAACCCCGGAGCTCCAGAACGCTGCAGAACGCCCCAAAACACAACCCACCCGCGGAGCGGAGCCTCCTTCCCCTGCCACCGAGAGCCATGAAAACCGAGGGGGCTGCAGGGAAAAAGAGCTCTCAAGACTCAACACAACCCTTGGCATCGTTCAGGCCACTCTGCATTTCCTCCTAAAGGGGAAAATGGGGGAAAATGGAATCCAACTTAACCAAAACCATTCGATTTTGATGTTTCCTTTTAAACACGAGCACTGAAAACACCTTAGTATTTCAGCACTGGAAACCTGCAGTCAAGAGAAACCAAACCCAAAAGCAAACAACAAGCAGAACTAAGAAAAAGCTAAGCAGCCAGAGACAAAAACAGTTGAACTTTTATTACATTTCATTTACAAATAATGCAAAGATACAAAGACAAAAGCCTTCACACAAAAAAGAAAAGATTGAAAAGAATGTACATTTAGTTGAGCTGCTTTTTCACATCATTTCTCAGATTGCAAACACTTAAAGCCAACTTCAGTTTTCCACTTTACCTATAGAAAAGCACAATAAATAGAAGTTTTATGTCGCAGGGACAATTTTTCCAGAGTTCCTGTGCCACCAAAGCTGTAGCTGAATATAGGATTGCATATATCAGTGAAATAATCCACAAATTATTTTAATAGAAAAAGTTTTGCTTGTAAAGGACAGTATACTATACTGTCTCTGAAAATGCATAAATCTGACATGTTTCTGAAGCTCAATGAACTACATAAAGTTGTTTTAGCTGCCAGTCTATGAGAGAAGCTGCCCAAAGCAGCTGTATTTAATTTTATTAAAATCAACCTTTCCTTTCACACACATTAATACATTTTACTTCCACTTCTAAAAGGAATCCTTCCACGGCGGGGGGAAGAGGGAGGGAAGGGGGAAGAAGGTGTCTCCTAAGGTAAAAATACTCCCTAAATTCCTAGTTCCTCCCAAGATACGAGCCCAGCGTGTCCCGTGTTGTTGGTGGGAGCTGGTTGCAATAGGGTGTTTCAGGGGCTGCGCAATGCGCCGAGCAGCGCGGTGCACGGAGCACATCCACACACGGAGCTCTCTCCTCTGCCTCTATCGCTGCTCATGCCATGAATATTCAGGATCCAGGAGGCAAAGAAAGATTTGTTTAAGCTTTGTTATCCCCCCAACACGTTGCCCCATAAATATTATCACATTACTTTTATATTCATCGTTACTCTGCAGGAACAAACATTTCACCTATTCTCAATGTCTCCGAAATTCCCAAATGGAGCCAAGCTTCATCTTGGCCTTTCAAATGGAGGCTTCTATCATCACACTTAAGCAAAGATCCTTGATAACTGCGTGATGTTCCTTCCTGACGAATAGCCAGAGCAGATTCTGTTTAATAAAAAATTGCCCTTTGTATGGTATAATTCAACTCAATTCCTGTAAGTTTAAGCCTGTAAAATTTCTGAAAGAAATACTGACACTTCACTGTTACAGTTGCAGAAATTAGTTCTTAAATTAGGTTTATAAATGGAGGCCTTTTAATCCTTTTCTTCTAAACCACAGTATAAAAATTGGATTGAATAATCCATAGGACATGTACAAATGAACTTTACATTTCACTGTACAAATACAGCAGTTCAAAAGGCAGAGTAAGACGCAGCATTCGGAAAGCAGATGTCTCTAATGAGAACCAACAGCCTGTACAGCATTTTGTTAATATATCACTTTGTACTTTGCTTTTTCAACGCTACTCCATGAGCCTGCCTCCCCAGGCCAGCCCCTGCCCTACTTGCACAGATTTAGCCGAGATTCATTACAAGTGTAAACCTCTTAGCACCAGCTGAAGCCTTATCCGAGACTTCCCTTAGCCATTACTCAATTATGACAATTGAAGCTTATTCAGGGGAGAATTTTTATTGCACGCTTAAGGAAAGAACTGAAGGATGGATGAATCTGCACAGGTCTCAGGATAATCTTGAAATCAAGATTTAGCAAAATTTGAATGGGGGAGAGAATAACATTCCCAGGAGCAGAATATGCACTTTCCCATAACTCTGCATTTTCTTATTTCAAAATCTCCCTGCCCTTAAAATCGTCTCACCTTACTGGCAGAAAAGGGTGCCCTTCAGCACATTTTAAAGCTTTATCTGCACGAGGTTGTAACTATTTGCAATATTAAAAAAAAAAAAACCAGGAAACAGAGCTTACAGCCAGGGGAGTTGGTACCTGCTGCCCGTGTTGTCACAGAGCTGCTCCACCAGGCGCGTTTTCCAGCACGGTAGCCCCAAAGCAACACGACCCGGCCCAGGGTCCCCCTGTCCTGTCCTCCCAGCCCCGGGAATCATCTCCCGCGGGACGCGGTAAAACCGGGACAGCTCCCTGGAGCCCATAGGGAAGCGAGCAGAGCCCGAGAGCCGCCCGAGCCCAGACCCCGAACGCGGCCCTGGATCGGCTCCGTTTAGGCCGAGCGACCCCCAGGCTTTTAGGATCTCTGCTCCCGAGGCTCCGATCCCTCCGGCAGCAGGACCCCCACGTGGGGCTGTCGCAGCAGTGGAGGATATTGGGGTTGTGCCTCGTTTGCAGCGGCGCTTTTGCGAGCTGAGAGACTTTGTTCGTTAACGTACGGCCCAAACGCAGCTCCCATTTGGGGAAGGGGAATTCGCAGGGCCGGGGGACGGCGCCGGGTTCTGCCCCGGCTCCCGCTCATCCTCACGCACTCGCTCCAGGTCTCACTAAGGTCGGAGGCCTGAGGTAGCCGGGAGATGGAATCTTGATACCAGGATTTGAGGTGTTTTATTTGAAACGGCCTCCCGGGGCTTTGCAAGCGTTTAGCAGAGGAGCAGAGAGGGTCCCGGAGACAGCGACCGTCACCGCTCTCCCCCGCCGCCCCCGGAGCCCGCGGGGCCTCCTGGCCCTGACGCGCCGG